GTCAGATTTTTATATACTTTAACCTTGATTCAACAGATTAAACAAGGAATATACATTTTTTTCTTAGTCTGTGAGCAAAAAATATTTCTTCTTTTACTCATAGACAAAGAGAAAAAGAATTAAAATCTACAGAATGATATAAATATGGTTTCATAATAGAATGAGTCATGTCTTCCATGGACAAAGGGTCCATAAGTCACAAATGTAGGAAGCAGCTCAGAAATAACACTGATGTTTGCATTCCTTTATAAAGTTCCAATATTCTTCTATTTGACTGCCTTTATACTTTGAAATAAATAACTCCTGAAAAAAACCAATCTCAAAGAGATTAACTTAATCATGATAACTCAGTAAAGGGGCTGGTGAGATGGTTCGGTGTTAAGAGTACTCACTACTCTTGTAGAAAACCCAGGTTTAGTTCCCAAAACCTACATTGCAGCCCACAGCTATCCAGTTCCAGGGAGTCCACTATTGATTGTAAATGCTTGGATATGAAAAAAATTTTTAAATGTAGATAAGAGTATGGATTAGTGTAGCTGTCTGTTGTGGCTAGAAAATAATGTGTATATTAGAGGAAAAGAAATGATGGCTGGAGCTAGAAAAATTTACTACAGCCATCCAGCCCTGAGCTGTTTACATAATACATACGGACTTTACATGTGAGCACCAAGCCATTTTTGTATTTTAACCAAGAAGGGCAAGATGAAGAGCAAAAGAAAACAATGATGAAGAAATAAGATGAAGGTCAAAAAAAAATGGAGTTCAGTCAGAGACCAGTTGGGAAGATGTAGCAATTTATAAACTTGTGAAGAGGACTTGGATTAGAGAGACAATGAGTGATCACTCAGAACTTTGAATAAAGATTTTCCTTCTGTGTGGTTCTACAGGCACGGTCATTATCTCCTCTCCCATTCTGTAACACTTTGTTTATACAGGACAGGAGCCTACCATAGAGGGCCTCTGAAAGACTCTACCCAGCAGGGTATCAAAGCAGATGCTGAGACTCATAACCAAACCTTGGGCAGAGTGCAGGGAATCTTATGAAAGAAGGGGGAGTTAGTAAGACCTGGAGGGGATAGGAACCCACTAGGAAAGCAACAGAACCAAAAATCTGGGCCCAGGGGTCTTTTCTGAGACTGATACTCCAGCCAAGGACCATTCATGGAGATAAGCTAGAACCCCTGCACAGATGTAGCCCATGGCAGCACAGTGTCCAAGTGGGTTCCCTAGTAATGGGAAGAGGAACTGTCTCTGACATGAACTCAGTGACCTGCTCTTTGATCACCTCCCCGTGATGGGGGAACAGCCTTACCAGACCACAGAGGAAGACAATGCAGCCAGTCCTGATGACAACTGGTAGACTAGGGTCAGAGGGAAAAGAAGGAGGACCTTCCCTATCAGTGGACTGGGGGAGGGGCATGGAAGAAGAAGAGGAAGGGAAGGTGGGATTGGGAGGGGACAAGGGAAGTGACTAAGCTGGGATACAAAGTGAATAAACTGTAATTAATAAAACAATAAATTAATTTAAAAACTGCATTTGGCACATGCGAGTATATCAGCATGTACTTGGAGGACTGGAATTTCTTTTCATGAACCCACTTCAATAAACATAATATCTGGTATTGATATTTTTAAAATCATCCCTAAGATGTTATAATTAGTTACTTATTTACTCCAAACATTAAGATATTGCTATTGAAGTATATCGCTTATTTTTTCATATTAAGTTAGTTAGGCTATAGTGCAAAAATTTTAACTGAATATCAAAATTTTTGTGAGGGTAATTTTTATATATTAATATTTATGGGCATTTATATTATGTAAAGGAGATTATTATTTCAACCGGTTAAAATGGGCATCACTCAATCAGTGAAAAGACTATAAGGGCATCAAAAACAGAATTATGATGTCTCTGAGGAAAAAAAAAAAAGAAATTCTGCCTCAAGACTAAAGAATCAGCTTCTATTTAAGACTCTATGTCCTATAGAACTCATATTTGTCAGCCTTAAACTAATTCCTTGAGAAGAATATATATGTTTTGTCTTTCTATATACAAATGTGTATTTATTTATAAGTTGTTTTCATTGAGGAAGACTGTAGGGGAAATGAGCTATTACCTGTAAAAATAATGACTTTATTTCTAAATATATTAAGTCCAGATATATAAAAAAAATTCAGCAGAGTTGTAGAGAAAGCAAATGAAAATATAAGGCTTAAATTCGAAAGAGAAAATATATGACTGAAGCATAATATTTCTTTGTTCCTATAAAATACATATTGTAGTAAAACAGAGATTTATACACTATAACACATATATAAGAACTATTTAGCTGTAGTTGTTATCTGAACATAACTTACCTTCAAACTTGCTCCAACCCAAACATAAAATTCCCCTTGTAAAGACAAGCTAGTGTCTTCCCACTTAAAGTAATTACTTCTTAGGTAAAGAATACCTGAAAGCAGCTGCAATCTACTGTCCGGGTTCCGAGAATTCTGCCTACCTTGAGACAGGGTAGATAAAGAGGCAAAATAGGCTAAGGTCAGATGGAAAAGGAGGAAGACCTCCCCTATCAGTGAACTGGGGGAGAGGCATAGGGGGAGAAGAAGGAGGGAGAGCAGGATTGAGAGGGGATGAGGGAGGGGCTACAGCTGGGATACAAAATAAATAAACTGTAATAAATAAAAAATAAATTAAAAGAAAAAAGAATTAGCACATGTGGTGCATTGACATGATTAAATAAAAATAAAAGGAACACACATCAAAAAGTGGAATAATAGGCTAGGGCAAGAGGGCAGTTGTTTTCAGTTCCCCACAAGTTGACATCCAGAGACACCAGAGGCATAATTGACTATTATGAGGTTTTTGGTGCTGATAATAGTAGCTGCAGGGTTTTACATTGATTTCACTTTACTCTTCTATATAACATGATGTCTTCTTACATTCTAGAGTAAGAATGTTAGGAAACAGTCAGACCACTGAAGCAGAAGCTTTGACTAATGACAATTTTTTTTTCATGCACTGAACAGTCCTGACTTCCAGAAAATCATGCCATGGTTTTCCATCCACGGGGAGATGGCACCAACCGCCACTACCATGATGTTCTGCCCAAGCACCAGTGACAAAGCAACCATATACTGAACCCTCTGAAGTGCCATGTAATCTCTGAATGATTCAAAAGATCCTTCTTTTGAAAGTCAATAAATTTCTGGGCTCCAAAGCTGTGCTTCATTAGGGAAAGATGCTGAATTTTGTGTGAGACATCTATCAAACGGCACTGATGAGAAGAGGAAATTGGGAAAATGTTAGAGGAACAAAAAAAGAACAAGCTTGATTCTTCTTCCTTTGAAGAGTTTCCAGATTAATCAATGGCAAAGTTTCAGTGAAGATTACACCTGAGGCTCATGAATGATAATTAAACCCTCTGGCACTATCTCCCCACCCACATGAAGAATTTAAAGAAGTCAGCTGTTCTGCATGGGAGTCATCTTGGTGAGGGCATTTCCAACAGAGCCACAAGTACAGAAGCCAGAATGTAGGGGCTCAAAAAATGTCTAAGAAAAAAGCGAGGAACGTAGGTGACTTACCAGCTTAATATGTGTTGGAGAAAAGGAGACTTTAAGAGAGAAGTCCAGCACTCTGCCCAAAGTTTGGCTATGAGTCTCAGTATCTCCTTCAATACTTGTGTGGGTAGAGTCTTTCAGAGGTCCCTTGTGAAAGGTTCCTATCCTGTCCCTTATCTTCTCCTACTTTGGATGTCTATCCTGTTTTTCCTTCTGAGTGAGGTGTCAGCCTCTTCCCTAGGGTCCTCCTTGCTGTTTAGTACTACAGATTTTAGTATGTTTATCCTATATTTTTAAAAACTATATAATTAGTATTGGATTCAAGAGAAGCATAAGAGATATAATATCGGAAGTGGTAATGTTTGGGTGAGATATTTGAGTTTTTCTTTAAATTTGCTAAAAATTTTCTAATGAATATAATTAACCAAAGCAGTTTAAAACTTGAAATGGGAGGAGGGATTAGAAGTTTGAATTTCAGAGAAATTTGATAAGAACCCAGGAATGAGGTGTAAGGCATGTGAGCCTCCTCTGCATCTGAGGGAAGCAACTGGAATGAGGCTGAGTTTCTGGGGAGCCCCACTGGACAAAGAGGGCAGGAATACCTTCATAATATGTGATCCTGAAAGAATTCCCAAGTTGTTTCCTGCATTCCAGGTCAAGCAGCAGACTGAGAACAGCTTCCAAAAGATACCATGGACCAGGAAAAAGCAAGGGTCAATTCCACAACAAGGAAAGTTGAAGATTTTTTTTTTTTTTTTTGGCAGATGTGGGTTAAAGGGGTAAAGTTGTTCTGTGTGATATGTATTCTCAACTTATCCAAAGCATAATGGAATCTGCCAATCCTGGAAGCTATTACAATAATGCTTACTTAGACATGACCAAAAATACTAACAAAACTCATCACCAGCTGTAGTTGAAGTTTTGGTGTCTTTAAAAACTCAGTTGTTATGTAAACATGGTCTTGTCTTAATTTCAGGTGTGGGCTGTGGGTCTGATTCAGATTATCCACAACAGCAAACTATTTGCCTCATGTAAAGAGCTCTGAGACGGCTCTTTACCAGCTGCAGATAGTTTAATTCTGAGGACTCTGAGAGGGAATGGATGCCGAAGTCCAAGAGTTTTGGGGGGGCTCTGAGAAAGAATGCTCCCACTGATGCCCCTGGTTGCTGCTGATACAATTTGATGAGAAAAAGTTGGCAATATCCTGAAAAAAAGATTGGACTTGGCCAAGGAACCCAATAACCCTAACCAGCAGGAAGCATCAAAAGAGAACTATGTCCCCTCTATCCAGTAACCTTCTTTCTCTCCTACTTGGTGTTGGGTGTTAGAAGGGATTGGAGTACATAAGGATAAGGGTTGGAAGGGAGATAAAGATATTAGAAACCCAAATAAAACAGTTTTACAAAAACACTACAACCACCACTGTGAAATTTTAGCTTTGTATTTATTGAGTTTCATAAGTGGTAGAGGTGTGCCTTCAATAATAGAGCTGGCCCCACCAAATTAAAACAATATACATAAAAATTGCATGTCACAAAACAGAGCTAAGTACATCACAACGTCCATAAAATGACACCTGGATTTGGTGCTTTGCTATGGGATCACTAATCAGTGAGTTAATCTTGAAATTTTTTATCCAGAGGAAGCATAATACAGAGCTGATATGGCCAGGAATGAAACAGAAAGGCTTCTGAAAGCTGGTACACTACAATTCTACTTATCAGTAGACATAAATACTCATGTACACAATGACTACCTCAGAGTTTGGTACTTATGAGAGAGAAACACACTAAATTAGAGTTATAAGCACTGAAGGACAAGGACCAGAAAAATGTTAACATGTCAACTGATCACTTTCCATTCTTTGTGAAAACTCAGGATATTCTTGATTTCCACACCAGCTTCAGTGGCCATCCCCAACACCAACTGCAATGGATATGAGAAGTTTCTAGGGTGTTCCAAACAGATGCCAGTAATGATGGTCACCATACTGCTGGGATCCAGTGTCCCTGGTCTGGATGAGTCCAGCAGACTTTTGCAGAACTCAAGAATATTGAAGAGGTCCCAGGCATCAGAATCTGGTCTAGTCATCCTGGGCCTTACCAACCTTTCCGACACAAAGGACTGGCAGAGAATGTACTGGTTCCTTCTCTTTAACTCATCCTCTAGAAAAGTGATAGCTTCCAAGGCCCTGGGGTCTTCCCATTTTAGGATGTACAGTGTGTCAACCACAATCTTGGGTATAATAAGAAAAAACTTAGCACTAGTAGCTAGTTTTTGTATGACTGAAAGATGCTCACAGAGGGCTCTGGGATCAGGGAACAGGTAAGGGGTCAACACAGACCGAGTCTGGGGACCTCGGAGGGTCTTTTCTAGCAATGCCACTTCACGCTGAAGCCAGAGCTGGACTATGCCTTTGGAAAACCTGATTCTTTCAGTTGTTCTTGGAAGCTGTTGAGGTGTGTTTTCTGACCTTTCAATACTGCTGCTCACAAAGACACGCAGCTTAGAGTCAAACCTCAGGAACTGTCCTGGAAGTCTAGTTGCAAAGTGACCAAAACTTCTGAAGAAACAGATACGCACAATAACTTCCTCCAGGCTGGTGAGTGGAGGTGCATTCTGTCCTAAGCCTGCACTCCCCTGGGACCCTTGAGGAGCCTGTTGGAACAGGGCAATGTCCTCAGGGAGCTGAAGGTACTTGGGAGTATGTGGCCATTGACAGCTCTGCAGCAAGTCCTGGAGATGGCGAGACAGGCCAAGGCCTGGATGCTGAAGGTCTCCTACTGAGGGTAGCAGGTTCAACAGAACACAGAGGTGGTCCCACAAACTAAATACACTCCTCCAATGTGACAGGATGAGGCTATGATTGCTACGGATCCAGCTAAGAATCACCTTGATAGTAGGCAACAGTCCCTCCGCAGAAAGAATGTCCAGTTTCCATTGAGTAGTCTGGAGATTGTTCTGGGCAATGGAGGGTCTCTGATCCCAAGAGGAACCCGTGTGAAACTCCGTCTCAGGAAACCTGCTCATCTCACCTTCTGTGCCCAAAGAACTGCCAACAGCAGGGCTTGGCTCAGTCTGAGGTGTCAGAACATTATGACTACAGATGGGAGCCAGGGACAAACCATGTTTTCCTTGGAGTTTTTTGCTTAAAGGAGCTGGCAGGCTAGAAGAAATGGTTGTTTTCAAAAGATCAAGGAGACTATCAGGAGATACATATGTCTTCAGTTTGTTTCTGGAATGAGCAGCTTTAGGTTTAGAAGTACCTCCACTTTTCTGAATTGCATCTGAACTCAAGGAGCCACTCCCTTCTTCATCAGTTGCATCTGAGTGGGATGTTTCACTGCTCGTGTCTGATTGGACCTGGGAGCTTAAGGATGAGTTTTCCTCCTCTTCTGTCTCTTCTGAGTCACAGCAGGAATGAAAATTGGCCTCACTCTCTGCATAAATACCAGACCACACCTGGCTTTTCTGAGAGTTTCTGTTCTGGAGCCCAAGAGATAGAAAATCTTGATAGTCCTTTCCAGGCTCTTTCTCCCAACATCCACCACTGGGAGAATCCTCTTCCGGAATCAACTTCCTCTTCTGCAGCTCAGCCTGAATTCGTGTGTTCACGTGTTGTACTAGATAAGAGAAAAGAGTCAAGGTGAAGATGACAGCTGGCTTTTGCTGTTTTGAGCCTGATTTTTTCAGGCTATGCACATTCATGAGGCAAAGAACCACCATGTGAAAGATGAGGAAGTCAGGGAGAAACAGATAGCCTTTAGGCGGTTTATCTTCTTTGGGAGACTGGTACAGGCCAGATTGATATGGCCGATAGGAAAGACAGAGACGGAAGTCTTCAAGAACCAGTTGGCACAGGGCTATCAGCCTTGCAGCTTTGAATTTTTTCTTAGGCTGCAGGAGGCTCTGAAGGTAAAGAAAGCTAACCAGAAGCCTTTTGTTGTCCCAACATTGCCTCTGGCTACGAGATAGTTTCCTTCCCTGGTACCTCTTTAAACAACTGTATCTCTTTCCTGCATGGTCATAGAGCCGTTTGAGGTTCCAAGCTGCTCCTTTAAAGGGTACTTCAGAATGGAGGCAGCGCTGATAGTAGTATGTAGCTTCAAGGTCATAATACTTACTCCCCATGAGAGCACCCAGTTGGTTGAAGGGCATTCCCATGTGCGGGGCCACTGACAAGGCTCTGTAGTAACACCTCTCTGCCAAGTTTTTGGTGCCCAGGTCTAGGAACTCATGCTGATAGCGGAACAAGTCTCCCAGGTAGAGTAGACAGCGATGACAGGCCATGCGGGCCCACGAAGCCTCTTCAGCTGATGTGAATCCCACTTTCTTACAGCCAATCAAGTGGATGGCATTGTGAGGCCAGTCTATGTAGCTCTGTAGTCTCAGTTCATAGTGGCCCTGAAGGAACAGGAAGAGATGCTCATAGAACTTGAGGCCAGCCTTCAAGTGAGCCTGCAGGGGACCTCCCCAGTGGTGGAAAGTGTCCATTTGTTTCTTATTGGTCTTCATATGCAACATGATTACATCAGAGTACATTTTTCTCCACAAGAGCTCTTCTGCCTTCCTACCATACACCACTGGATGCAGGAACATGAGTTTAATGCAGGCTTGTTGAACTAACTCTCTGAGAGCCAGGATGTGTGGCTTGAACACCTCTTTGTGGGCATTTTCTTTTTGAAGGAAAAGATCAAGACGCTGTGCTGCCAAGCAGACATCATGGTAGAGTAGTCTGGCCTTCAGAGTTTCTTCCTGGTCTCTCTCCATGATGCTAGATGCTTTTCAAGTGATGTTTACAGTGTTTCCTGAGAAAAGATCAAAACTGCTTATTAGAGTTCACCCACAAAGAGTGAAAATACTGCCAACCAAAAATGAATTTGGAGGGGATACTCTTATTCTCTCACTTACAAAAAACATTTACTTTCATGTTCTTTATCTGGAACTCATTCCTATCAACAGTCAACCTATTTGAAAAAGAGGTCCCTTCCAAATGTATCTCTAATAAAGGAAAGCCAAAAGTACATGCATTGAAATTAACTAAGCAATCTAAGATTAATGAATTTTATGTGATTATTTATATGAAAGAAATTGAATTCAGAAAATTATAGTTATATAGACTTAGAGAAATAAGAATTACTTGAAAAAAGTAGAGACCAAAATAATATAAACATAGCTTCCAAATAGAAAACATCACCCTCCCAAAAGACCTACAATACTTTGTTTAACAGACATTCTAGTGAAAGGCCTTAATTTATGTAATTTTAAGAAATTACCTTGGAATGACTGACATCAAGAAAAATTAGCAATTAAACACATGTTCTGGAGTTCCTTCACTATTTCGAGGGACCCACATTGATCCATGAACCCAGAAACCAGCAGGGAGCTGAGAGCAGCAGGTAAACATCCCCTATCCATCTACTGGCCTGCTACAGCCCACTCGCAACAGTGATGAGGACTGCCCAGGACCCTCTGTGTGCCACATTTCCTGTGCCTCCACAACCAAATTTCTGGGCCTGTGCCATTCCTCAGGACCCACCCGTATCTATGGCCCCAGAGATCAGTACAGATCAATGAGCAGCAACAGCATGGATCAAGGAGTAGCAGAAAAATCAGAGGACTGAGGCCACTGGGGACCAAGATCTCTACCTACAACCCCAAAGAACTAACTACCATCATAGACTATCAGGCCTGCTAATACCAAAGTCAACCAAATGGCTAGAGGTGAGCGCAAGAACACAAGCAACAAACACTGGGCTATCAAAACCCAGCTATACAACCACAACAAGCACTGAGAATACTATCACACCAGAAGTACAAGAAAATGATCTTAAATATGAGGTCATGAAAATGATTAGGGCTTAAAAGAAGAAATAAATCTCTCAAAGAAATGCAGGAAAATACAATCAAACAAGAAAAGGAAATGAATAAAACTGTCTAAGACCTAAAAAACTGAAATAGAAATGATAAAAAAGCACCAACCTTAGGAAATCCTGGGGATGGAAAACATATGGAAGAGAACAAATGCAAGTATCACTAACAGAATACAAGAGATGGAAGAGAGCATCTCAGGTATAGAAGAAACAGTTGAGGAAATCGATACATTAGTCAAAGAAAATGTTAAATCTAAAACCTTCCTGACACAAAACATCCAAGAAATCTAGGACAGTATGAAAAGATAAAACAAACAATTTGAAATAGAAGAAGGAAAAGACTCCAAGCTCCATGACCCAGAAAATATTTTCAACAAGAACATAGAAGAAAACTTCCCCAACCCCAAGAAAGATAAACCTATAAATATACAAGAAGCCTACAGAACACGAAATAAATTGGATGGAAAAGGAAATTCTCCTGTCACATAATAATCAAAACACTAAATGCATAGAACAAAGAAAGACTACTGAAGGCTGCATGGGGAAGAGGCCAAGTCACATATAAAGGCAGACCTATCAGAATTTCACCTAACTTATCACCAGGAACTGTAAAAGTAAGAAGGACTTATAGACACTAAGAGAACACAGATGTCAGCCCAGGAAAACTTTCAATCACCATACAGGGAGAAAGCAAGATATTCCACAACAAAAACAAATTTAAACAATACCAATCCACAAACCCAATTCTATAGAAGATACTAGAGGGATAACTTCAACCTCAGGAGGCTAATCACATCCAGGAAAACACAGGAAATAAATAACCCCAAATCAGCAAGACCAAAAGAGGGAAGGCACACACACACACACACACACACACACACACACACACACACATACCACCACCACCAACAACAACATCAAAATAACAGGAATCAACAACCATTGGATATTAATATCTCTCAACATCAATGGCCTCAACTCCCCAATAAAAAGACACAGTATAACAGAATGGATGCAAAAACAGGACCCATCATTCTGCTGCATACAAGAAACACACCTCAGCAACAATGATAGATATTACCTCAGAATGGCTGGAAAAGGTTTTCCAAACAGACACAAGAAACAAGCAGAAAGCTGGAGTAGCTATTCTAATATCTAATAAAATAGATTTTAACCAAAATTAGCCAAAAGAGTTGGAGAAAGGCACTTCATACTCATCAAAGGAAAAATCAAATAAGATGACATCTCAATTTTGAATATATATGCCCCAAATGTAAGGGCACCCACATTTGCAAAAGGAACATGACTAAATCTTAAACTACACATTGAACTTATTAATAGTAGGAGACTTCAACACACCTCTCTCACCAATAGACAGATTATCAAGACATAAACAAAACAGAGAAATACCAAAACTAACGTTATGAGTCAACTGGACATAAAAGATATCTACAGAACATTCCATCCAAACACAAAAGAATATACTTTATTTTCAGCACTTCATGGAACCTTCTCCAAAATTGACCATAGGTTCTGACGCAAAGCAGGCCTCAAAAAATACAAGAAAATTGAAATAACACCTTGTATTCTATCAAACCACCATGGATTAAAACTAGACTTTGACAACAAAAGAAACAAAATAATACAAACAGACTCATGGAAACTGAACAACTCTGTACTTAATGACCACTGGGTCAGGGAGGAAATAAAGAAAGAAATTAAAGACTTTCTAGACTCTAGTGAAAATGAAGGCACAGCTTATCCAAACTTATGTGACGCAATGAAAGCAAGTGCTCAGAAAAAAGTTCATAGCAGTAAGTACCGTCGAAAGAAAGTGGTGAGAGCCCATATTAGCAACTTAAGTAGCTCACCTGAAAGCTCTACAGAAAAGGGATGCAAATACGCCCAAGAGAAGTCAACAGTAGGAAATTCTCAAACTCAGGGCTGAAATCAATGACCTAACACAAAGAGAACAGTACAAAGACTCAACAAAACCAAGAAAAGGTTCTTTGAGAAAATCAACAAGATAGACAAACCCTTAGCCAAACTAATTAAGAGACAGAGAGAGAGAAATAAATGAAATCAGAAATGAAAAGAGTGATTTAACAAGAGACTCTGAGAAAATCCAAGGAATCATTAGATCATTCTTCAAAAACCTGTATACCTCAAAATTGGAAATCAAATGAAATGAATGATTTACTTGATAGATACCACTTACTAAAGTTAAATCAAGATCATGCTAACAATTTAAATAGATCTATAACCCCCAAGAAAATAAAAGCAGTCATCAAAATCCTCCCAACCAAAAAGAACCCTGGGTCAGATGGTTTTAGCACAGAATACTACCAGATTTTCAAAGAAGAACTAATACCTATACTCCTCAAACTATTCCACAAAATAGAAACAGGCAGAACATTGTCAAACTCATTCAATGAAGCCATAGTCATCCTCATACATAAGTCACACAAAGAACCAACAAAGAAAGAGAATTTCAGACCAATCTCCCTTATGAACATTGATGTAAAAATGCTCAGTAAGATACTTGCAAAAAGAATCCAGGAACACATCAAAAATATCATCCACCATCATCAAGCAGGCATCATCCCAGGAATGCAGGACTTGTTCAACATATGAAAATCTATCAACGTGATCCACCATATAAACAAACTCAAAAAAAAAAAAAAAAAAAAAAAAAAAAAAACATGATCATATCATTAGATGCTGAAAAGGCCTTTGACAAAACCCAACACTCCTTCATGTTTAAAGTCTTAGAGATTGGGGAAATTTTCTTTAATTTTTTTCAATTCTGCTGGAGAGGACATGAAGAAAGGGGAACCCTCCTCCATTGCTGGTGGGAATGTAAACTTGTACAACTAGTTTGAAATCAATCTGGTACTTTCTCAGACAATTAGGAAGAGTGCTACCTTAAGATTCAGCTATACCACTCCTAGGCATATATCCAAAATATGCTCAAGTATACAACAAGGACATTTGTTCAACCATGCTCATAGCAGCTTTATTTGTAATAGTGAGAATCTGGAAACAACCAACATGTCTATCAACTGAGGAATGGATACAGAAATTGTGGTACATTTACTTAATGGAATACTACTCAGCAATTAAAAACAAGGAAATCATGAAATTTGCAGGCAAATGGTGGAAATAGAAAAGATCATCCTGAGTGAGGTATCCCAGAAGCAGAAAGACACACATGGTATATACTCACTTATAAGTGGATATTAGACATACAATATAGGATAATCATACTAAAATCTGCACACCTAAACAAGCTAAGCAAGAAGGAGGATCCTGTGTAAGATCCTCAATCCTCATTTAGAAAGACAAATGGGATAGACATCAGAAGAGGGTAAAAACAAGGAACAAGATAGAAGCCTACCACAGAGGGCTTCTGAAAGACTCTACCCAGAAGGGCATTAAAGCAGATGCTGAGACTCATAGCCAAACTTTGAGCAGAGTTCAGGGAATCTTATGAAAGAAGGGAGAAATACAGAGACCTGGAGGGGATAGGAGCTCCACCAGGAGAGCAACAGAACCAAGAAATCTGGGCACAGGTGTCTTTTCTAAGACTGATACTCCAACCAAGGACCATGCATGGAGATAACCTAGAACTCCTGCACAGATGTAGCCCAGGGCAGCTCACTGTCCAAGTGGGTACCCTAGTAAGGGGAACAGGAACTGTCTCTGTTATGAACTCAGTGGCTGGCTCTTACCAGGCCACAGAGGAAGACAATGCTCACAGTCCTTATGAGACCTGAGGAGAAGAGAAAGAGAGGGTGGGATTGGGAGAGGACAAGCTACAGCTGGGATACAAAGTGAATAAATAAATTGTAATAAATAAATGAAAAAATTTTTAAGTCTTATATCAGGGATACAAGGCCCATACCTAAACATAGTAAAGCCAGCCAATAGCCAAC